TATATATGTAGATAGAGAGATAGATAGATCGATAGATAGATAGATTAGTTAGTATTGCGTTTTGGCGTTGATCACTGGTTGAAATCGACTAGGACTCGTCAATTTGTGGATAAACTTTGTCCCGCAATTGATTTGAGTGAAGATATTACTCTCTTTCTCTCTCTCTTTCCCTTTCCCTCTATCTCTCCTGCTCTCCCTCCCTCTCTTCCGCTCTCTCTCTCTCTCTCTCATGGCTCCCAACAATTTCTTATATTTTGTAGTTCTTAGAATGTTTGTCGTCTTCTCACTTCTCCCAGTCCCTGTTTTATCATCAGTCTGCTCAAGCTTGTTTAGTCAACTGTAAAATCACATAGTTACCAGGCGAAAAATGATATTCCCTATTTCGATCCTACTTGACACTGGTTCATTTCACTTTTGGATCGATTAGCAATATACGGCTTATTTCAAAACCTGATATTTTTCTCCTGGGTGAAATTGTTATACGGTTATTTTCATGCGCTTTTCTCCTAAATTCAGTAACTGTTAGTATTTTTATTAATTGTTAAAGCTGAATAAAATAATGATGTTCATTTGCTTATGACTTAGAATATTAAAAAAAATAAAAATCTGTTAACTGAGAAGTGTTTATGTATTATCTGATATTGTGTATTTTTCAAGTTATATCAATTAAGGAGGTATCCTTTTGTTTAATTTCTCTATTAAATTGGATTATATTATAGATTAGGCAAACTAATCCTAATAATTCTTAAAACGAGTGCTTATGGTTAAATTACGCTGTGAACACCAGTTCTTGAAGGTAAGCAGCATCGAACCCTTTCAGTGTTTAGCTGGGGGACCGCATGAGAACACCGGGTAGAGTAAGCAATCACCTACAATCCGAAATGTGTTTTGGCTTTAAATAACCTACGAGTTGATAAACCGTAAAAAATGAATTAATTTTTTAACAAGTTAAAAATCGGTTGCAAGTTGTGGTAGAAAATAAACTTGTTTCGTTAATTTCTCAAGCGTTTTTTTATTAAGATTTGAATTCAGATTGATGTAAAAATGTATTTGGGAAAATGCTTTGGAAGTTGATAGTTAATATTTAAATACTGGTAATAAAATAAATAATGAAACTGATGGAATTTGATTAAGCTATCTTTTTGTGAAGCTGCATCTGGAGAATGCTAGATGAGTATCATGCTTATCCCCCACCCACAAATGTACGGAGTCAACTGCACACTAAATATTACAGGTGCTTCTTCATTTGTTGCGAACAGATATCAACTAATTGGTTGCACCCAGGTTTGGATTTACCAACTTTCATCTCTTCTTTTTTTCCTTGATGTTCACTCTCTACAAGGCCCGAGAGCCACTCGAGATAGATGTTTAAAGAGTACGAGAAAGAGTTTATGTGGATATGTGGGGAAGATAGAACAGGTTGATATTGTAGCGATCGGGAGATAAAACAAACTGTAATAATTTGGGTAATAAAGAAAATTATAACACTTTGGTTCGTATTGGGTGCTTCAATACCGCTTCCCATATTTTATAAGTTGAAAAAAGGCAGTTCATTCTGTACAAGGCCCTTGAGACACTCCAGGTAGAAGGTTACAGATTAAGAACCACAGTTTATAGAGATATATGGGGAAGATAACGGTTGACCCTAGACTTGAGCAGACCAAGACTGTAGTAACCGGGATGCGTTTTATTGGGAGTTGGTTCCACAAGAACATTGGTTTGTGTGAAGAAGCTGCTCGAGTGAAACTTCCATCTCACCCATGGAATATGAAAGGAATGAAGGCGGTTGACTACAATATGCGTGGTATGGCGGGTCTTAGCTGTGAAGGGTAGAACTAGATGAAGTATGGAATATAGTTCTGAACATTTTGCATGTAATTAGCTATAGAGCAGCGAGAGATTTGCGACTTCTCGTCTATGAGAGAGGAGTTGTAGGGTTGCTTTATACCTCCTCCGAAATATCATGCGTTTAGCGAAAACTTTTGGCCTCGTAAGTATATACATGTTACTTTGTCGATTTCACAAGGACTGGCGAATTATCATTTCGGATACAGGTATGCGTCTGTTAGTAAACATATATGCCCAAACATGTTTATCATTCGCTTACTCGAATTAAGGAATCAGAGAGCCGAGTTCGAATTCCAGTTGAATTCATTATATTCACTTACGTGCAAATACTCTAGGGAAAATAATGAATCCTCTTCTCATCCCAGCCCACAGTTAAGGGTAAATAGCAGGACAGACCAGATTCTATAGCCTTGTATGGCAACTGGTTTACCGCAGAAAGAAATGGCAACCTACTGCAGGAAAATATCTGCCTCGTCAGTCATGTATCGAAAGATACATGATCGCATAAGCTTGTATCACGCATGGTGTATAACTGCCTTAAATGCTATCAGGACTTAGATCAGTGCGCCAAATATCCATTTAATATTCTTAAACAGATATTGAGTCCATTACTATTGATCAACTAAAGTGGGATCTCAGAGTTTTTCGAATAGGTAGTTCGATCCCAATTGTTGCAAATCTTCCAATAAATTGACAAAGGTTCAAAAGCGAATTAAGGGCGTTTTTTTTAAGGAAGTTTTTTTTATTTTATTTTTACAGAAGGCATCTACGGTTTTGAAACTGATTTTCTCATTTAGTATACGTTTTTGTAGTTTAGGGTTTATTATATATATTAGTGCGAACATGGGCACCTCGAGGCGGTGTAATGGTTAACAAGCCTGACTCGCCAGAACAATTACGACTCAGTAGTAAGTCCGATCCTCACTGAGTGCCCCTTACTTTCGGCCTTGTGCCACATCTAAACTACGCTTGGAAAATGACTATACTACTGTGAACAATTGACGTATTTATCTATTGAGATCTTTCGACTTTTAAATCGTTTTTCACTCACTCACTCAATCTATCTATCTATCTATCTATCTATCTATCTATCTATCTATCTATCTATCTATCTATCTATGTTAGTAGTTAATCATTTATCTCTGTATATTTTAAAGAACGGTAGTTAAATCTATCATAAGTTGCCCTGTTAACCTAAGTAAAAGAAAAGCATAATGAAATATTATGATTACTGTTAATACATTTAGTTTTTGCATATCAGGAAGTACTTTTATCAATAAAGTTTCATTCACAATGCCATGACGACAGTACAGCCTTTCTCTCCTTCCTTTTTTTTCAAATAATAATATCATAAGACTTATAAAATAGGATGGGAAAAGTTATCCACACGAAATTATGAAAGAAAAACAAAACAGAAAAAAAGAAAGCAGTGATATCGCCGCTTAAAGCTAATGCTGTTAATCATATTAAAAATCCATTTTAGAGAAATATTTTCACTTGAACTTTGGATCTTGGAAGTCAAATCGCACAATTTCGGAAAGGTGACCGGATCTGTTCATTATGACCATTGAGAAGAAAAAATCGAGAGGCAGTTGTTACTGCTATTGCAGCAGACCACAGAAAAGAAAGAGAAATTAAAAATATTTGAATCTTGCAAAAGAACGGAAAACATTAAGGACCATTAATGAACAGATGGGCCAATCGTTGTCGGCGGAATTCGAACAGTCGCAAAAAACACTGCAAAGTAATTGAATTTGCTGGAAGCCTGAGAGAGAATCTAACCTATTCCGACGACAATATTAGCGAAATAATCTAGAATTTTGAGCAGTAATTGATGTCATTTGACATTTAGTGAAGAGTCATCAGTTACTACTGTTGTCTGAACTTAATGAGAAAGAACCTGTATTGACCAAGCTGATCAGTGGTTTAAGCATAAAGCAGATGCATTTCTGAAGCACGAGGAAAAGAAAATTCGATAGAATGTTGAAATTAAGATGAATCGCTGATTCCATATACGTAGACCTGCTATTAAGGAGAGAGGACAATAAAAGAACAAGAATTAAAAGAACAAAAAACAAAAGAAAACAAAAAAAACAGGCGATAACAATTGGGATTGCTTTTAAATTTTTGAAGATCAAAGTTGACTGAGAAGCAAGATCCGGAAGAGATTTCCACAAGTGAGTAGTGCGATAGAAAAAACTATTAGCATAAAACTTACGGTTACATCTAGCGGCCATTTCAACTGTAAAATCATGATACCTTTCTGCCAATTTAGCACTCCGCTTAAATTGCGTCACGGGTAAGACGATAAACTACGTCCAACAGCAAGGCTTTTCATCAGGAGGTTTTGAGGAGTGTGGGGCCACCTCTTAATTTCTGGTGTTCTCAGGTTCACCCCGATGACAACTGGTCTACTGCAGTAAAAAATGGCAACCTACTACGGGAAAAAATTTGCCTCGTCAGTCATCTATCGAAAGATACATAATCGCCTAATCGTGTATCACGCATGACACATAACTGACTGTAATGGAAAAAAGAGTCATCCTTGAATGTTTTATGTCTCTTGTATTCAGCAAAGATGTAACATTCCATCGTTAATTCATATTGGTAAAGCAACATGGGACGTTGTGAAATATAAGCGAAAAGAAGGCACACAGAATTATATATTTCTATTACTGTTCACTCGGCCCTGCCTCCTTTCAGCGAATCACCCTACCCTACCAGCTGTATTTTGTATCACAAAAGAGACACAAGAGTTTGATTCCCAGGATGCAGACGCTATAGCGGAACTAGCGAGATCGTTTCAGGTTTATCAAAATAATGTGAGCTTGTATAGTAGGAAGTAACGAATAGAAAATTCATTGAATGTGTATGATGACAAAGTGGATTATACAAAGCAGCATTTACGGAATACTGATGAAGATGGAAATCTTCTCTAGCGAGGGCGATATGTATTCAGCCATGGTATAAATAGCGTGCAGAATTTACACAGAGATAATTATAACTTGCGAAACAATGATATGAAGACAAAGCGAAATCATGTAACAAGAGAATATACATATATTTTTACGTAATTATATATATATATATATATATATATATATATATATATATATATTATACACTAATCCTGCGTACATATGTGTATAAAAATTTGTATAAAAACATAGATGCTCTGTAATTACGTTAATGAGGACTTTTTCCCGGTGTACCGTTCTAGCATATTCATTCGGGAGCTGTCTTCAATTGTGTGATAATATATATATATATATATATATATATATATATATATATATATATATTGTTTGTGTGTGTGTGTGTAGATATATAACAATATATAATTATGTATAATTTTATATATCAACGAACAGTATTTAGATAAATAGTATGACAATTTGTAATAAATTAAAATGCGCCAGAAAAACTTTTTTACCGATTTGTTATACTATTTTTCTGAATATGTTTATATATATATATATATATATATATATATATATATATATATATATATATCCAGATACGATCAATAGACCCATCGTTATGTGTTGAAACACGACTGCAATTGTGTAGCTATTCTTACATGTTTATATATATATATATATATATATATATATATATATATATATATATATATATATATATATATATCCGTAATATGCAGGTAATAGATCCTTTGTTATATAATCCACGTGGATCCTGGTAATATCAGATATTAAAACTGATCCACTGAGAGCTCAATGTATATATTATAACAGAGCATATATTTTATACAGCAAAAAAGTACAAAATTACCAGCATGTGGGTATAGATGTGGTTATGCTGTATAAAATAATATATATATATATATATATATATATATATATATATATATATATATATATATATATATATATATATATATAGATACATCTAGTGAGCCAGACAAACCTACCTAGGTTTCAAAACGGATCGTCAGGGAAAGTATGGCCAAACTTTCCCTGACGATCCGTTTAGGTGAAACCTGGGTAGGTTTGTCTGGCTCACTAGGTGTATCTAGGTCTGCTCTACGGTTGTATTGAGCTCTTTTGTTAGTTGTTTACTCGTATCGGGGTTCAACCTCCATCTGTGCGATTTTTTGTCGACAGAAGTTCATGTTTGTAGCTCTTTCTTTTTTTAAAAACTTTTTTTCTCTCGAGATTGATTTGATTAGCAAATCAAAAATTCGAGGGTTTTTCAAAACGAGTCTAGTTATCTATATTTATATATATATATATATATATATATATATATATATATATATACTTTTTAAAGGATACATACTTTCAAGTATATATCTATATCTATCTATTTATATATATGTATATATATATATATTTATACTTTAGATATATATAAAGAGATAGTGATTGTGTGCTTGAGTGTTTGCGTTAGTGTGTGTGTGTGCGTGAGAGAGAGAGAGAGAGAGAGAGAGAGAGAGAGAGTGTAAATACTCTGTTTTTTGGATCATACTAAAAACGTGCCAAGCACACGTGTAGCTAAAGGTTTCACCGTGATAAACTGGTCGCTAAGCGCTTAAAATTGGTCAGATCAATTGTTCGAATCTATTGCATACACATGGTGGGTGACTAAGATCCCCTCCCCCAAGAGTAATATCGCAAGGTAGCCGCTACCTACGAAAACAAAAAACGCGTGTACATATTTATTGAATAAAATAAATTCCTCACATATAGATTTTATTAATTTATGTATAATCTATGTTAATGGCTAACTGGACAGCTTATGCCTGTAAGGGCACCCGCCGGCGGTGTAATGGTTAGCAAGATTGCTTCGCTAGAACAATTACGACTGATTGGTGAGTTCGATCCTCACTGGGTATCTCCTGTGTTCGACCTTGCGTCACATCTAAGCTACGCTTGGAAAATCACTATATCTTTCCCTGTAAACGCCAAGATTCGATTTTTTTCCTACAAGCATAGGCCACAGGATTTAGACGTTCCTTTTGGAGCCTGCTCTGTTTTATGATGTGATTTGCCAGATTTATACTTCTGTGACCATACATATTTAGACACTTTGGCACTTCTATATGATGTAATCATTAGCAAGCTTGTTTCGTTAGATCAATTACGACTGAGTAGTGAGTTCGATCCTCACTGTGTGTCCCACACTTTCGGACTCTTGTCTTCATCTTTATCGTCATATTCACGACGTTTCGACCGTTGTTCGCACCGGCCTTTTTCAGCTGATATAACTTGGAATTTCGAACCGAACTCTTTATTTCCTCCCCCGGATTAAATTGTTCTAGTTTCTCGTGCCATGCCTTTTCTGGATATCTCAGTTTCAGTTACCTCTCTTTACTAAGTCAGCTCTCCAAGTTTTTAGGTTAAAAGCGTTGGTTGAAGCAATCCAGTGACTTGACCCAAAGAGATGTCAGTTCGATCCCTGGCCAAAGAAGAGGTGTACAAAAACTTGGAGAGTTGAATTACTAAATGGTGGATAACTGAAATTTTAGTGAATTAAGATAAATTATTTTTTCAGCAAAAGTTAAAGAATGACGAGTTATCTCCCCTGGCTTACGGCGGCATCACGTTGAAACACCGGTTCCCGTGCAATCACCGAAGTTAAGCAAAGTCGAGCCTGGTCAGTACCTAGATGGGAAATACCAGGTGCTGTAAG